TGGGAATCCAGCAACATAGCCATTACGCCATCTGCTGGTTCTACTCTACTGTCTTTAAGGGGATAATTCATATGATTACTTCAGCAATGATTTTTCAAAATAAAAATACCTCTTTGAGAAACCAGCAGATGGCATAACGGTTATGTCACTGGATTCCCACATGGTCGATTCCCACATGGTTGACCGTGGTTCGAGTCCTGGACCCCGCAGCTTAAACTCACACCATGCACATGTGAATGCGTGCCCAAAGTCCCAAGAGAAGAATGGAAAAGGGATTATAGCATGGCCATCCTCCCTTGGGTGGGAGGGGGGTGATTTCTCACTTTCTGTCTCTCCTGCAAGCACACACACCACATAGGGGAGGAAAAAAAAAAAAAAACACCTCTCCTGGAAAAAAAAATACATCTTTGAGATACAGGCAAAAAACTTTCTCACACATAAACAGGTGTCTTACATCAATATATGTTGAACTACTGAATTGTGAAATAAATACATAAATCGCAGATAATTTTTTCAGAAATATCTGCAAAAGAATGACAGAAATACTTATTCTAGATTTCAGAATCCTAGATTTTAGAACTAAGCCCCCGATTTGTTGATTTCTCATTTATTTTTAAAAGGAGTGAGCTGAGATGGTGGCTATTATATTCAATCAGGGTAGTGGTATTTTATACAATTAGCATAACTCAAGGAAACTCATCACAGGATCTGTGCATTATCATCCTTTAAAATTGTTTAAATTAGGGGGTCGACAGGTGGTGTGGTGGTCAGAGGCGTTGGACTCTCACATGGCTGACAAGGGTTAGAGTCCCAGACTGATGGCTCGCTTTCTCATTTTCTTTCTCTGACTCTGATCAAACTATAAAATAGTAACAACAATAAAGCTAGATGAAAATAATTCTTTTTAAAAATGTTTAAATTAATTGCCAAATGATACCTGAGCCCACCAGAGTGAGAAACAGAGAAAGCACCCTTGAATGGTCCATAGTCACACTGTAATCCCTTCTCTACTCTCCATCCATCTGGAGTTTTGATACACACGGATCAGCCAGGCATGTGTTTCAACCTGCAGGGCAGACTGCATCTACAGTCAGTCACGGGGCATCCGACTCGGTTCACTGTGTGCTTAACCACTACACTCCAACAGGCCTGTCTGTGCACTTCGGTAACTATTGGTAACTTAGAAGTCAACTTTTTTAATGAGGATGGTAGCAAGTACCAACCTAGTTAATGCTTCACCAACTATTGCAGAAAAGGTCTGGTTACACACAGAAAAACTTCTCTTCCATCTAGGGCACAAAACTCCCCCCCAGCACCAACCTAGTTCCCGGGGCAGCCGGGGGTCCGAGGGGAAGCAGCGAACTCCCTGAATCTCCTACGGGACAAGTATTGGCACAAGGCAGACAGGAACGCGGCTCCTGACGCAGGCTATCGCCTGGGCAAGTCTCCCAATCTCCGCACTTTATTTGTAAAAATGAGGCAAAAATAGCGTCTAATTCTTAAGGTTGTTTCGACGATTAACATTAGATGTCTGTGAAAGGCACTTAGCACAGCAGGAAGCACTAAGTAAATTAGTTACCACCATTTATCGTAAGTGATAAAAGGAGACAGACACACGCGGATGCCTAAAATCCCCACCAGAATCTCTCCAGAGACTTAGTACTAACTCCCCCAACCTGCCTGCCCCTTGCTCCCTGGCACGTTCTTGTCCCCTCGGAGGAACTCGCCTGCCTGAACACAAACTTCTGTGAAGACACCTGGCTCTGTGAAAAGGCCAGCCTCCCGCCTCGCCTCACGCCACCTCTCGCCACGCGCCAGCTAGCTTCTT